CTGAGAGCTATCCCTGTGCAAATATGACCTAATCAGGCAGTTCTCTTTACCCAGGGGAGGAGACTCACAAATTTGGAAAATAGTAATCTTGAAAATACTAGCTGAGGAAAACTGTGCAATAAAGGAGATGTGCTATTTGCAAACTCCTTGTTAACAATTTATTTTGGAGTAGCACCATCACCACTGCTCTCTGGGTGCTACAGAAAACTCAAAGTATAGTTTTGCATTACTACCACCTTGCTGCCTTTTTGTCTACTCTCAGTATTCAGAGTTGTACTGATTTATAAAATATTTCTTAAGATTTAATGCTGTTGGTTAAAATACTTATTTGTAAAAACTAACTGCTAACTCAAAATGCTAACTGGTACCAAAAATACACTTTTGACTGTCTAGAATAACTAGACTCTCTGACAAGTCATAGTGCCAAGCTGTGGGGCAAAACACAACAAAGACTTAGGGAAGCTTTCAAAAAAAAAAGAAAGGTGAAGGAAGGTATAAAGCTGCTGTTATTGGCCTTTGCCAAAATCCTTGTTCCATTCAGAGTGTGGTGCATGCCTAGCTATAATTTAGGAATTGACTTCCTATTAAAAATGCTTGCTGTAACGTGGTGCCAGTTTTTTATACTGCTTTGTGGTTTTATTGTCACTCTTCCTCTCCACACACGTACTTTCAAAGAAAAGGCAGAAAATGTTTTTTACCCTAGATGTGTGTCTTTTTTGTGGGCCTGGAACCGTTACAAGACCATAAAGTTAGAGAGTCTGAACTTTTCAGACTCCTTTCTGGATCCGGTCGCTGCTGTCTATGTTAATCCAAAAAACAGCTCTGCATCCACCAGTTGTCCCTGAAGTCCCAGGTGGAGAAAGATCCTAGCTTCTGCCAATGAAATTCCTGACAATAAAGCTCAATGCAGAGAATGAAGCAGCAAAACACTCAGTCCCATGTAATCCATATACTGTTAATCTGTTTTAGAAAGTATCTGGTTTGTTTATAAATTTTCTAGATGTTTCTGGATTTTGAGGTCATTTTCCTTCTCGTCATAGGTTTCAGTTTTGTTTTTCTGGTCTTTTCCTTATTATCATAGGTTTCAGTTTTGTTTCTCTGCTGCTTATGTAATCAGCAAAGTAGTATAAATAGCTGAGTTGAGCCGAGCAGTGCACCCACTACATCCTGCGCCACCAGACCAAAATGTCTGATCGCAACGTCCACAAAGCTGGTTTCACCTCAGCTGGCATCCAGAAAGATTCGCTTGCTTCCGAACTGATGTCCCAAGAAGCAAAAGCTTCGGGGGGAGGTGTGCGTTCTGGAGGTCCAACTGCTACGCTCCAAGAAAAGGGTATGAGCACACTTTTTTCTTTTTCCTTAGAAACAAAAAACTAAAATGCATCTTAGCGAGCAGGGAAATGCCTCGAAAGGGAGCCTTGAAAATAATATCTCCAAGTAATCTGTCCTGCATTGCACCGAAGACAAAGATTCCCATGTTTAAGTGCACATTATGTATAGGAGTCTGTTAAGGGTGTTTTCTGTCTATACATAAGTGATATTCATGAATTCAGGACAGTGTCCTTTTGAAGTTTGTGCTATCTCTCCATTTTGCTAGGAAATATCAATAGTATGACAAGTCATGGCAGTAATAAGTAATGATGTACAGGAACACACTGTGTGTACCTACAGTTCATACATATTCTTTAGATACGATTTACATTCTCTAGACAATGGGGATTCGTTATATTTTGAGAGATACTGGGTGTGAATATTGTAATATGCTTTTTATTATTTTTACTTTATACGATTTGATCAGTGAACTTCTTAGGATGCTGAATATGATGTTAATTGAAATTCAACAAGAAAGATGTCAGCTTTGAGGGATGGTGCCAGCAGAGGGACAGAATATGAGAGCGCCTCAGAAGCGGAGGACTGAGAGAGGGAAAAGCTACTCTGAGGCACTACAGCCTGCAGTAGCAGCACTGATCCCAGTACACAGGAACTGCCAATTAATTATCCAGCTGCACAGCCTTGCCTTCTGTTACAGATCATGGTGTTACAGCAGGTTTTTAAGCGGTGACTTCCTGTAGAGAGCATGGCATAGCAGTTTCTAAAATACAGAAATTAAGATTTGTATCCTCCACATGCCGAGAGTGTTTAGAAGACTAAACATTTAACAGCTAGTTTTACACTTGCAATGCCTATACCAACTCTACATTTTTATGAAACACACTTCTGGCGAAGAGAAATCTGTTTGATTCAATGAGACCTTAGCCATGTCTATAGGTGACACTCCAGAAGAGCTTTTATTCATGCAAAAAAGACTAGTTCTGCCAAAAAAGTACTGACATTGCCAGGACAGGTGTGAGTTTTGGCTCCCTGCAGCAGGGGAGCTTGCTACACATGCTTCACCTCAAAGAGAGCTAGAAGGGTCTCATTTCGCTTCCACAGGTGCTCCCTGGCTTCTGTCACTCTTCAAACTCAGCTTCTTAACCTTTTCTTTCAGACTCTAACCGCTCCCCCAGGATGAAAATGCACAGAGGAGCAGCTGGTGCTACAGCAGTCTATGAATATTATTCAGTATCACTTCATAGAAGATGTTGTAACAGGCTCATCACCATAATATTTGAGCATCCTCCAGGAGCGCTTTAAGTGATATGACTAACATTTGCCATTGCTAATGCTTTGGTCCTCTCCTAGGAAGAAAGAGCCTGCCATAGAATACTGTATTTGGGGCTTATATATTTGGAACAAGGCAAGTGCTCAGCAGTGTCTTTGCTTTGTGACAGATTTGCCTTGGGATGTTTTAAAACATGTCCGGTCCCAGTTGTCCGCTAAGGCTCCTTCCAGTCAGGAAAGCATATTAACATCTATGCTGTTCTAGGTGCCACAGGCTCAACCCACTCGTCAGGTTTTACCAGCAGCGGGATCTCTGCTGGGTCCAAGGCAGCTGGAATGATGTCCCAGGAGGCCAAGTCTCATGGAGGTGAAACTCCCAGGGGTGGTACAACTGCCACCTGCCAGTCCATCTGTAAGTGAGAGCCCTGCTCGTAAATAACTGTTAAAAAAAGCTGTTAAGCTTATCAGGGTTTATTCATTTTTCTGGGAAGCCGTGTTATGTCTCCCTTAGCATCATTGCTTAGAGCCACCTTAAAAGCTATCAGGAAAAGAACTGAATGTAGAGCATGAATATCTTATTTGGGTTAAGACAGACTGATTGTAAGAGAGATGTGAAAAGTTTAAAGATTCTGGAAGTCTCATATTTATGATCATGGGCTTCCTGGTTTAAGATAAAACTGCAGATACTTGAAGACTAATACCATGAAGGGGACAATTTGCGTTATTCAGCTGAAAGCAGGGGTAAGAAAACAGATCACAGGAAGGCTGACACACCAAGAAAATCATGCTCATCAGGCATGTAAAATGATCAACAGATTCCCAGAAACCTCTGTCATGAGCAAATTTTTAAAATATTGGGGCAAAATGCTTAGTAATCACATACTCATTATTTTTATTGTATTCTGCTGAATATTCCTTATATGATTGTCCTATCATAAAATACCGAGCACCCATAAAATACTGAAGGCCCAGATCAACCCCAGGGGAGCTATAGTGTGCAAGGGCCCATTTAAACACAAGTTAAACACCAGACCAAGAGTTTCATATTTAAGCATACAAGATAGATAAAGGAGGAGGAAAAAATGAAGCATAAGAATGGAGTATAGCTGGCAGTGAGGAATTGTTAGCATATATCTTGTGGCTTTTTAAAATAGCTTATTTTTCTTTTCTGTAAAGAATTTGCATAGGTACAAGGACCACAGAAAAATACTTAGGGGAAGTGCAGGGAAGGAGGCAGACACCATGCATGAAATAAGTATGTTAGCAAGAGGAAAAAGCAAAAAGCCATGGAGGACAGAGGAAGGCACACCAGGAAAATGGGAGTCAACTTGGAGGTGATGATAGGCATAGAATAAACCACTAATCAGCAAGCAGTAAAGTTTACACGGGAAGTTATGTCAGAGGATAAAATTGTTTTCACATCTTTCTCTTCATATTTATCTTTAGCAATGGGTGGCAAAGGAGGAAGGCGCTGAATAAGAAAAGAGCACCAGTTCAGAAGCAAGCTCTGCAAACAGTTCATCTCTCACCAATTTGACAGTTTCTTCCCTTCTTTGCTCTCTCCGACGTTGACGTGAAAGAAAAAGCCTCTCCCTGCACAAATAAAGATTCAGTTAAAATGATGGATGTTTGCATGCGACTGCTTGTCCAGCATATCTATTTTAATGAATAAACCTGAACTTATTACTGTGTGAAGTAAATGGTAATGAATAAGAATCCCTAATAAGCATAAAAAGCTTGACTATGTGCTCAAGGGCACTGCTAACTCTTTCTAGGGTGTTCGTTTTCTGCTTGTGGCTGATACATCACAATTTTGCAATCTCTTTACACATGAGGGAGGGACTGCAAATTTACCATTAGGCAATGGACAGCATTTTACATCTGCTTACCACAGATTAAAGCATGCAGGCAGCCACAAGTCAAAGGGGAAACTGCCAACTGTCTTTATTTATTTTTACATATAATCATCATTTCGCAATGTTTTCCTTGCAAAATAATAAAAATAGAAGCATTCAAACTCAGGATATTTGTCATAGCCTCAGTGCCTAAGTACAAAAGGGGCTTCTGTAGCTCATCTGTTGTCTCCAAGGCTGGGCTGGTACGTGGCTCTAGCTAAGCTGTTCTACACTTGTCTCCTGAGAAGCCACAGCAGACCTTTATTCCCTTCTATCTCCTTAGCCCTGCGGTGCATAGAGTTAGGTCCATCACAGTTGCTTCCCTTTCAGGGCTTCGCCCACAGGCAAATTTCAAGGTAAGGTGTCAGCCAACAGCAAGGATCTGGCTTCCCACAGGCAAGCATTCAAACTTCAACCCCGATGATGCTTCAAGTGAGTTTTAACAATTAAACTAATGTAATAATAATGACAAATGTTACAAAAAGTCAAGCACTCATCAGACAAACAATTTCATAAACTGACCATTTCATGACAACTAAAGATTTTCCTTTTCTTATTTGTCTGGACGAGGGTAAGATTTATGATAGGGATTCAACTTTAACATTGGCATTTCTTATCTCAAGCGCTTTTGTTTTGTTAAAAAGTAGTTATCATAAATGAGAACCAGCAAAAGGTGTTCATATCTTAAAAAAAAAAAAAAAACTATACAAACCAATGGCCAACGCAACAATTCCTGATCACATATCCTTTCACTTTTGAGCACCTATGTTATTCTGATATCACTAATTTGGGATACTTTTTCCATCTTCACATTTCCTCATGCTGAGACATGTCCTGGGTAGCTTTGCTGAAGCAGGAAGCATCCTCAGCTGCATTTAAATTCACTTACCCAAATCAGCTCACACAGGCCTGCATGAAAACAAAAATAAAAACTTCCTCCTGAAAAACCTTACTTGCAGTCCACTTAAACAAATGCATATGTGCATTATTAAAAATGAAGCATTTACATTTTTAACAATATAATTGAAAAGGTCAAATAACAAATATGGTAACCTAAATCCCTTGTGTGTCTCAATCAATCTTCCAGAACAAAAAAAAAAAAAAAAAAAAAAAAAGAGAGAAAAGAGAAGAGGCAGCGGTGTGTGATTAGCAGAGCAATAGCACTGGAGCAATACACTGCAGAAAGCACATAGCCCTCTGCATAGAAATCAATTTCTCCCATGGGATGGGGTCGATAGTTGTCTGACAGGACAGCATACAGGCAATTTGATAGCATTTTATCTAAATGAATCTCTTCCTCACCCCCACCGGTCTCACAGCTCATGAGCAGGATCTCTAACTAGAAAAGATTCATTTTTTTTTTATCATATAACTGGCAAATGTTTATCATTCTGAAATACTACCACTGTCTATTAAAAATCATTTCTCATTGTTAGCTACTCATTACCAGCATCTCTTTCCCAACATTGTTATTCTAATTAGCTAATTTACTCATGCAACCCATAAAAGTCACTTTCAGGTACTCCGGAAACATTTTTATTACTTATATACCTTCTGAATGATAGGTCACCTGTTCAGGAAAAATAAGCCCACAAGCCAGATTCAGTTAACTCAATAGAATATTTGTATCTGATTTTTTTTAATGCAAGAAAAAGCTTATTTTTTGAGGAATACATTATTCACACAAATTGGTTGTATAGCATACCTTTTTTTTTAATAAACAAAACTGAGCTGATCTTATTAGCAGATAACTGGCTGAAGTGAATAGCAATGAATAAGAACCCCTAATAAGCATAATTTCAAGGATGGATCTCTGGAGCTGTGGGAGTTTGGTATTGTGCCCCAAAGGCTCTTGTAAATCCAGCTGCAGTCTTGCTCGTCATTAGAAGATTAGGGGCTGATAAGCGCCAGTCAAGCCTTATTAGAACAGGCTAAGGCAACAGGAAATGTTAATTGGGTAATTTAACGCACAAGGAGACAATAAATGCCTGCATTGTGGTTTGGATGTTGTTCCCCTATTGATTTGTTCATGTCTTATTTTGTGTCTTCTCTCAGTGGAGAGAAGACAAGATAAAGTCTAAGTTTAAAAGCACTAGATTACTTTTGTTATTTCCTGCATCTTCCCTTTACCTCCTTTATTACTAAGGGACCACTGTGTAGCCCTTGATCCTTGTCAAGGCAAAGAACAAAGACTCTTCTCCCTTGAGTGCTCGGCAAAGAAAGGGTGTTAGAAACCCAAGGTACAGCAACTGGCTGCAGTAACAGGGTACGTCATTAGAAAAGTCACTGTGTAATTCTGGCAAATAAAAAAAAAGTGTGTGGAACCAATGAATAAAAACATTATGGAAAACTCTCCAATTTCAGCCTGCCTGACTGCCATAAATATTGAAACCAGAGGGTGAACTGATATTCTACCACCTTTCTTGTGAAATTGGTTTCATCTCTTAAAAGAATATTCCCTGTTTCAAGCATGGTTCCTATGCAGGCAAGACACTCACTGTGTGTGCATGGAGCAGCACCATTGAGACTTGGGAGAATGTCCAGCCGAGTCTTTTCTTCTAGCCAGTTCTGAGAAATCTCTGAGATATCTTTGCCAAACTGAAGAGGACAGAAAGGAGGATCTCTTGTGGTGGAAGTTTGCTGAATAAGGGACTCTCTCCCCCTCACTTTCTAATACTATAACTTCGAAGATTGAGGGTAATAATTCATAGACATTTTGTCTTAATAATTTACATTTCCAGCAATTTAAATATTAAAATGCAGCTTGAACATCATTAATTTCAAATAAACCTTGTACATTATGCTCTGTTTAACAACAGTTCGTCTCTCTTGTAATCTACCTGGAGCAAGTCCAACAAATTCACTTCAAGCTGGCAGCTAGGTGTCCAGTTTAGCCTGTTTCCTCCTCTGGTGAGAAGGACATCCCAGTTCTCTTTCTCTGGGCTTTCTGTCTGCTCAAATTCTGAGTATCATAACCATACTGAAACACAGCAATATCCTGTAAGCTTCCCACAGTCTCCCATTCCCTTAAGAATTCTCATATTAAAAGACACCATTAAAATGACTTTTCAATACACAGTAATTCAAAAAGTGTAAGTATATTCCCTTTTGAAAATGATCACCATAATGATCACACTAATTAAAGTAAAATTGTTCCCATCCCTTTATGTAACTCTTGGCTGGGGGTGGGGGAAAGAGCGTTGAAATATAATCCAGTTTAGTGCGCATCTAATAAAAATAATATTTTATCTAAGATTTCTAATTTTGACCTGGGGATTTGTTAAAGAATGCTTGAATGTGAAAATAAGTAAACAAATGGATTTTCTGTAATGCCATAAATTTACACAGAAAATATTGTCCCTAAGGAAAGGCGTGTATCTTACAAAAACAGTTCTTAAAATTCAGATGTTGCTTTTTGCGGTCTTTTGCAAGTAGAATTTCCACCCAGACAAAATTTTTACTGGCCAATTTTAAGCTAGTTCTGCAATTTATGTTTATACATAAACAACTCTGATTTTAATTGCTATCAACTTCTTACACTTGATAGATGGTCTCAAACACTTTTTTTTCCTCCAGAGACTATTTACTTTGCCAAATATTGGCATGCTTTCAAGATTTATACTTCTCTAAGGAAGGAAGTTTACAATAAAATATAATGTATTCCGTGGCTGTGAATGGTAACTAAACACTCCAAAGATATTTCACAACTGATAGTTACTTTCCTTCCACACACAGTACAGTACTGTTTTAGTCTTAGTAGACTTAGATTTTTAAAGCTGTTTGACTGGCCAAATTTAGTGTTTCAGAGATACAATACTATTTACTATAAGTTTCCTTCCACTACAGCTATTACTGAAGTAACAATTCCACTTATTTTTTTTTCCCCAATAGCTATTTCAAAAGGACAAATTATGGGGGAGGCATTTATTCATTTATAGGATAGGATGAACTCCTTGTTTTACAGAGTTCAAACCCGCTATCATGTCAGAAGTAGAAATTGTTGCAAAAGTACAAAAAACCCACAATGTCAAACATAGGAGTATTTTCTCATTATTAGAAGTATTATTAGCAAAATATGATTCAGTTGATGAGTGAAATCACATTTAGGTCAAAATCTTTGGACACAATTTGCTGGTAACATGCCTAAATAAACCCAGAGGACAAGGAAAGGTCCTCAGAAAAAGTATGCCAAGTTGTATCGTCTTCATGCAGTTGCTGTTACATTACTTCAGAAGTAGCATTATCAAGATCTAGCAATAGCTCTTTTAAAATGAGCTGAAAAGAACTCCATCACAGCAGCAATCTGTCACAGTGACAAAGTGCAGCCCCTCGGCCTTCACAGAACACATTTTAGAGGGAAGACTCTTTACGTTCTTCTTATTTTTTTAAGCTTCTCAGTCATTTTGCCAAAATTTTTTTTGATAAATGGGTAGTTTTGTTTCACACAACTCATTTACAGAGGAATAGGAAAGATGGGTCTTGTTTGCGTCCCTTTAATCCCAGATCCGCACTTATCAAAGATCGGAAAGCACCAAAGCACTAAAAGGAAGCACATTCCACCAAGACCATGTCCCACCCTCCCTCAAAGGCTGGAGAATGGAAGGGATGAGATCCAAGAGGGTCTCCCATTTCCCTGGA